TACTGTGCTATCACTCCAGCACTGCCAAATTAAAAAACATAGAGGTAGATTACCTACTTTAGGTTAAAATACTGGCAGCACACATACAAATACCCCTTGCCTCTGTTCCACAAACATTCGACAAAAAAGAGGGAAAAAAATGCTGACCCATTCAGTGCAGCCCTAGTACCTCTTTCATGAAGAGTGTTGCGGAGACAACAGACCTTGCTATGACTGATACAAAGCACAGGGAGGGAGTCAAGACAATGGTCACATACATTTGAAGTGGGAGGTCAGGATGGTTCTGTGGTGCAATGTGAGATCAACACATACACCACTTAGTAAACTAATGAATGCGTATGATTAATGACAGGGTTTGTCTATGAGGCAGATCAGATTCTTATTTGATGGACAAACAATGAAACAGAATCACCTGCACTGTTGGAACTACAGGATGAAACATATCAGTTGCTTGCTGTGTTCCTGCAGCAGACAGGAAGTGTCTAAAAGGGCAACCTGCTTCCATTACTCAGGAACTCAGCTCTTCCAGACCAAGAAGACACTCCCAATTAGGAAACCGCAACATGGTTCCAACACATCCTAACTTCTACGATATAGTTTTCTCTACTCTTTTATTTCCCCTTACCCAATCCTGTCTTGTAGATAAGGAAACCGGTTCATGTGTCCAGGCATATTTGAAAACTGATTAGCCAATGCTATGTTTTGATTTCCATCAAACAGCCAGGGGATGGGGGTAAATATTGTTTTTGTGAAAATCCCCCCTTAGTGACATTCTCATTCAGCATTTATGATTATATTCCTGTAAGTTGTTTTGCTCACACTATTTAACAAAAAACCTATAAAAATTCCTGCATACCTTGTTTGATTAGAAAAATATTAATATTTTTCATTTATCATTCAAAAACAGGGCAATTTTATGTTTTATTTGTACATAATGATTACATGAAGGGCAGGAATAAATTAATCTAAGGGAAATGAATCCTATATAGTTTTCTTTTCAAGTAAAATGTTTTGTTGTTTAAATAAACTTTTTGATTAAAAGTAAAATTATTGCTGAATGTTAGTAAACATTTACAGTCATTATACCAATTATATACAATCTCTTCTAGATCATAAAAGCCAGGCAATTAGTTTTGAATTCATTCTATGAGGGAAGTTTTAATACCAAATCAAAGATATTTCAATAAAAGAAAGATATAGATGCCGAAATCCTTAGCAAAATAATAGCACATAAATTCAAACAATGTATAAATATAACATTGATTCATCATGACTAAGTGAATTTATCTCAGGTATGCAAATTTCTTTTGATATTCAAAAATCAATTAATGAGACTCACAAATAAATCTCAGAAGAGAGCAACAACACTGCAGAGATGCCTCTGAACCTTCAAATCACCATCCAGTTAAATCTCCAATCTTAGCAACTTATTTGAAATTTTTTGAATTCCTAGAGAGACACCTCACACTTTAAGCCACTGATAAACCAAGAGTAGCATCCCACATTTGATAGGGTGTAATGTAGAAGTCAAACAATCTTGATATATATATATATATATATATATATATACATATATATATATCTGGGAGCTCTTTGGCACATTGCAGCAACATGGGAAGATGCCTTTCTTGATGACATTGATGAAGAATATGATCAACTGGTTCAGCACCTCCATGATTGTGCAAGAAACGCCGAGGGGGATAAAGCCACAAAAAGGTGCCTGTCTTCAAAAACTCTTGAGCTCATTCGCCAATGTGGCTGAGCGCGAGTTGTATTTGCATAAATAATATTCAAAACTTCCCTAATTTGGGAAAGGAAATAATTATTCAAGCATAAGTAAATTAAATAGGTTAACTAAATATAATCACACACCATGACATATTATAATCAAAGTGTCAAAAACTAAAGACACCAAATAAAGGTGTTGGGAGGATCCTCCCAGGATGGGAGAAGCATGCAGAAGGTAGACTATAGACTAAACATGATTGTCACCCATTGCCTCTTTTGCAAACCACAACACCCAATGAGAGAGAACAAAAGGGAATGCCCTGCCACAGAGGCAGGGTGGGATGGAGGGGATGGGGGGTGGGAGGGATACTGGGATCCGTGGTGGTAGGAAATGGGCACTGGGGGAGGGATGGGTATTTGATCATTCTATAATTGAAACCCAAGCACAAAAATGTGTAAGTCTGCAACTGTACCTCATGATGTCTCACTATTAAAAAAATTTTTATCATAAAAAAAAACTAAAGACAAGAATACTGCAAGTATTTAGGAAAAATAAAAATTGCATATAAAATCCTCTAGGATTCCTCTGCCCCTCTCGGAGAGCCTGGCAATCTACCGAGAGTATCTCACCCGCACGACAAATCCTGGCAAGCTACCCATGATGTATTCAATATGCCAAACACGGTAACAAGAAGTCTCAAAACAGAGATGTTACTGGGCCCGCTCAAGCAAAATCAATGAACAATGGGAGAACAGTGTATCAGTGTGACAGTGTGACAGGAAATTGTTGCCGGTGGGAGAAGAGGGGAGCAGAGTGTTAAGACTGAAACAGCCATCAACAAATGCCTTTATGTCACATTAGGAAGTAACTGGCCTACGAGCCCTACAAAGCCAGCTGCACCTGAGGTCTGTTTGATCTATATGACATGGGACCTGGTTCCCATGATCTAAGTCTCGGCACACCGTGAAACTCAGGCTGGAGCAGGAAACTGATCTTTGAAAGAAAGAAAAGTTGAGTCTTGTCCTCTGCACTGGTTTTTACCAAGTTTTCATGCACCCCCAAAGAATTTCCGGAAGAAACATACAGGCAAGAAAAGTGTTTAATTTAGAGATTATTAAGAGGAAAATAGAGAAACATGTTCAAGAGAGAACCCATACCTCTCCAGAGGGAAAGCAGTTAAGAATATTTTATCAGGTAAAGGAAAGAAATTATATCTCCAAGTTGAGATGCAGGTGATCCCCAGAATGTAAAGCTCCCCATTTGTCTTTGTTCAAGTTAGTTTTATAATTCTTTACCCAAATTGTCCCTGGTTGGAATTTTCAGTATAGATAAGAGTCTGTTGGCTGGGTATTGTCAAGAAAAAGAGTACACCTCTATGTTCTTATCTCAGACTTTTGTTCCTATGAAGCCTATCCAGAGGGAGTTCACTTCACTGTCCAGTACTGGTGCAACTTAAAGTTTTACTTCTGTTCCTCTGTCCACAAATAGGATCCTTACTATATTTGGCTACTCTAGCACTAGTGACAAAGTAACTTCTGTAAGTCACAACTTTGCTTCATGATATCCTGAGAACTCACATCAGGAGTCTCCTCCCAATCTGCCTATTTGCTTCGAGATTATTCATGAACATTTGCCACAGAAACCATTTAACAGAAGGGAATAGCACAATATATTCAAAGTTCTATAGGATCAGGATTTTTAACCAAGTATATTCTATTCTGACAGATACACACTTACTGTAGAAGGAAGGATAAATAATTTTACTAACAAGCAGAAATAATTAATTAATAATTAATTAGTTGATAAGCAGAGCCTGGCAAGCTACCTGTGGCATACTCGATATGTCAAAAGCAGTAACAATGATGGTCCTCATTCCCCTGACCCTAAAAGAGCCCCCAATATGCCATTGGGCTATACTAGCACGTGACAGGGACTAATGGAGACGTTACCAGTGCCTGCTTGAGCAAATCAATGAACAACGGGATGATAGTGTTAGTGATAGTGATAGTGAATAAGCTGAAATAGAAGTATCACCATCAATCCACACTTGAAAGAAATATAAATTTTTCTTTTATAAAAGTCTGCCCCTCTTGGAGAGCTCGGCAAGCTACTGATAGTACCTCACCCACACAGCAAAGCCTGGCAAGCTACCTGTGACATATTTGATATGCCAAACACAGTAACAAGTGTCACAATGGAGACGTTACTGGGCACGCTCAAGCAAATTGATGAACAACGGAGGACAGTGACAGTGACAGTGAAAAGTAAAATATTTTCACCTACAGGTAGCAAGATACCTGAATTATATAATTCGTAGTGCGGGGAAAAGATTACACTTGTACTCTAAATGGGATGTAAAATAAATACATGTAATAGGTCGCAAGTATAGAACTTTACATAAAAGTTCCATAGTGACCTTAAAACAAAATATAGGTGAGAATAAAAAGACACAAGAAAGTGAAAAAGAAACTCCAACACCATATAAATGACTACAACATACAAAAGAATATATATAAAAACAATAAATCAAGAAAACATCTATAAAATATAATAAAGTGGACTCAATATTTTAATTTCAAGAATTACCTTTTTGTTAATGGTCTAGATTTTCCAATTAAAAATACTGCAAATTAATGTAATACACTATATTAACAAAAGGTTAGAAGGAAACATGATTATTAGAATACATCCTAGGATATTATTAGATAAGATGAAGTACCAACTTAGAACAAAAACCTTTAATACAATTGGATAGGGAAAGAAAAGATCCCAGCATAACAATAACCACAAACTATAAACCCAGAATAAGTAATATCATACATAATAGTGAAAAATGAAAGATTTTCCTTTAAAATCTGAAATAAGCTAAGGCTGTCCATTGTCCTACTTCTATTTAATTTAGCATCTGAGGTCCTAGCCAGAGCAATTAAACAAGAAATAAAACTAAAATAATTCCAGATAAGGAACTTGAGAGATCGTAGCACTTGCTTTCTATAGTCAAGCGAGGTTCAGTTCCCAGCACCCTATATAGTCCTCTCAGTCAAAACCAAAATGAACCCTGAATACAGAGCCAGGAATAAACTCTGAGCACCATTTTGTGTTGACCCCAAACAAAAAAATAATAATTTTATATCAGACATGATTTTTTTTAGGATGTTTGGATAATTTACACAGAAAACCCTAGAGAATTCATCAAAAAATCTACTAGAGTCTTTTAAGTCTGACTACAGTAAAGTGGATGGTTATGAAACCAATATAAAAATCTCTTGAGTGCTTGCTTTGGCAGCACATTACTAAAATTGGAACAATAAAGAGATTAGCATGGCACCTGCACAAGGATGACACGCAAATTCGTGAAGTGTTCAATATTTTTAATTTCAAAATTGCACGGTCATTACTGCAGCCATGCAGCATCATATGTTATTCATAACCAGCAATAGAAAACAAATTGTCTACTGTTGCCTTTTCAGCGGATCTGAGTGTTGGGGTAAAATCTGGTATTGGCATATTGGGTATGCCATGGGGAGTTTGCCAGACTCTGCCATGTGGGCAGGTTACATTTGGCAGCCTGCCAGGTTGTTGAAAGGAAGAATGAGATAATAAGATAATAGGCTTCTGTGAGCTGGGTTTTATAGTCTCTGGGTCTTGGCCATTGGTGGGATTACACGGTGCTGAGGGCAGTTGGTGGGTGTGACCCCGCCTACTGGAAGATGGAGAATCTGGGTGGAGGATGCTCAGCCCCCATCCAAGCAGGCTTGGAGATCTCAGCCCCGGGACCCGCATGCCTTTGTTCCTCTGCTGGTACCTTCATGCGTGTGGAGAGTGGTCTCAATATGGTTGTGGATGGTTCTGGAGGTCTTCGACTGCTGGAGCTCTGGTCAGGGCAGGGAGGAAAACTCAAGTTACCCCCCTCCAAGGGGCCCCAGCGAGTACAGCCAGGTGCAGGGTTAGGAGACTCTGCCCAATATAAAATTATAAAAAATTATAAAAAATAAGGGGGAGTTCATGCCCAATTCAATCAGCTAATCAGTGGCGGAATAAATAGTGGTACTCCTACATAAAAAAATTACTTGATCACTTGACATCCTGTAAATTATCGATTTGCTCGAGGGGGTGCCAGTAATGTCTCCATTCGTCCCTGTAATATGCTAGTGTAGCCCAATGGTGTCTGTTCGTTCTAGGAACACAAAGAGCCTCAAACCAATCATTCAGGTTCTTGGCAAAGAAGTCTGACAATCTTATAGGTGGGCAGCCACGCAGTATTTTGACGTCCTGTGGAATCCAGTTGGTAACAGTTCTAGTCCACCGGTCTTCTCCAAATCTCACTATGTGTCCAACCTATCTGATTTTCTACACCTTGGAAAACAAGAGAGCGTCCATCATTCTTGACCATCGACGGAGGTCAAAATTCTGGATTCTTTCTCTCATTTGAGTGAAATGTGATACTCCTAGCATAGCTCATTTGATTCCTCTTTGGGAGACCCGAATAGCATTCTCATCCTGTTTTCGTAGGGCCCGGATCTCTGACGTGTATGTTAATGCAGGAAGAACAGTGGAATGGAAGAGATGTGCCTGGAACCGGAGGTCTTCATCCTCTTACCTATTTTTTCGATGTTCTTGAAGGCGTTCCAAGCCACTCTCTTCCTCTGCGCAACTCAGGTGCCAGGTCATTCGTCATATTGACATCTCTATCTAGGTACACATAACTGTTGCGTTCAGAGATGTTCATCCCGTTGAGAGTGAATGGAACGTCAGGAACAAGACTTTTTCTCATAAACATTGTCTTTATTAGATTCAGCTGTAGTCTGACTTTTCCACACTCGTGGTCAAAGTTGGCCAGCATTTGTGCTGCTTGGCTAATGTTTGGTGTTATTAGAACCATGTAATCAGCAAAGTGGAGGTGGTGTAGTTGCTGACCATCTATCTTCACTCCCATTCCCTCCCGTTCCAGTCATCGCATGACGTTCTCAAGGGCGACACTAAAGAGTTTTGGAGAAATGGTATCACCCTGTCGAACCCCTCTCTTGTCATGGATGATCACTTCTTTATAGAATGGTGAGATCCTGCTAGTGAATCTGTAATACAGCTCATAGAAGATCCTTGTGTATTAAGTTTGAATTCCCTGCCCACATACCAAATTCCGCAAGATGGATATGTCGTTCCCAATGTTCTCCCTTCCGAAATCCAACACACCATTGTGTGGTAAAGAAGTGAACAGCACCTGGCCTAGACAAGGCAAGACCGAACACCTGAAGAACCTGCTGACAGTACTCATCAATACACTGGCTCAGCTCTTCACATGCTACCTGTCTGAATGCAAGGTTCCATCCCAGTGGAAAACCAGCAGGACCATACTACTGTACAAGAAGGGAGACATCCATGACATTGGCAACTATCGCCCGATCTGCCTGTTGTCTGTTGTCTACAGGCTGTTCACTCGAGTCATCCTGAATAGGATTGGCAGAACACTAGATGAAGAACAACCATGCAAGCAAGCCAGTTTCCAAAAAGGATTCAGCACAGTCGACCATATCCACACGATAACCAAGCTCATTGAGGTTTCTCGGGAGTTCAAGATGCCACTCTGTCTAACATTCATTGATTTAAAGAAGGCCTTTGAATCTGTTGAGACGGAAGCAGTCATCGAAGCCCTAGCCAAACAGGGCATTCAAACATAAAAATCACTATGGAAAATAATGAATGCAAAGAAGAAATTAAATAGCACACTCTTTTCAGTAGTATTCCCTCCCAAAATCAAATACCTAGTAATAAATTTAACAAAGGAGGTGAAAAACCTATATATAAAAACAACAACAAGACATTATTAAAAATCAAAGTATTTTACATCTGGAAATGGAAAGATGTTCAACATACATATGGGGAGAAATGCTACCATCAAACTACTCATCCTACCATAAGCACTTCACAGATTTAATGCAATATCTATAAAAACTCCAATAATAAGATTATTGAGATGGAAAAAAATATTAAACTTTAAGTGGAATCATAAAAGACCTTGAATAGTCTTGGGGTTACTGAAGAAGCAAAAAAAAATTAGGGGCATTATGTTACCTAACTTAACACTGTTGATGCAAAAGTGAATTTTCTTGCGCTGGTGGGTTCTTGAGAATTGTAGGAAAGATTTTCATACAAAATTCGGTAGATGAAAAGTTAGATTTTTTTATACAGATAAAATTATCTGTATAATAAACATCTGGGTTCCTCCCCAGATGTCTGGACCTCTCTTTAACCCGTGAACAATGTCACTTGTTCTGTCTCTGACACTGCCTGTTCCCACTAATGACTTCCTTGTCCTATGGCACACAGTTTGCTCGCCTCCAGTGAAAGGATTAACTGGTCTGGTCTCACCCTAATCCATTGCCTGAAGGACTTCCCTGTCTTGTCCATGCTTTGCTCTCTTTATCCCGTGTAAGCTTTCCTTGTCTCTGCCACAGTTTCGTGCATGGCCATATGATGAGGGTGAGACTCCTGTGCTCAGTACCTTGTTACTACCTGGTCTGGTCTTTCAAACCCTGCCTGAACCTGAGCTTTCCTGGGCATCTGAACCCTGCTTGTACCTGCTTCTGTCTGACCCTGAGTGGCCCACTTGTACTGGGCTCTGAGTCTAGGTACACTGCCCTACCAGATCCTGAAGGTCTGGAAGAGAGGAAAGTCCAGAATGCAGAGAGAGAGAGAGAGAGAGAGAGAGAGAGAGAGAGAGAGAGAGAGAGGAGAGAAAAAAGAGAGGAGAGAAAGAGAGCAGAGAAAGAGAGACCCCCCAGCCATTCCATTATCTATTCTGATTGGCTACCTGTTCTATGGGCAGAGATTATTTAAAGTGACCTGATGCTCTACACCTCAGCTCCTGCTGTATCCTACTACAAAGTGATAGTACTTAAAACTGTATGGTATAGAAATACAACTACAATTAGCTCAATGGGGCAGAACTGAATACATAAAAACAAGTCTGAACATTTGCTGATACTGAACTTATAAGAAAGTATCTCAAACCATGCAATCAGAATGGAGAATCTTTTCAATTTGTGGTACTGGGAAAACTAAATAGCCACATGTGAAAGTTGAAAATGAACTAGTCAACAACCCCATTACAATTAAAATAGATTAGAGACTTATATGTAAACCTGGAAAAACATAGTACACAGAGGATAACATAGGTCAAAAATTCTGTAACAATAGCATTCAAGTAATTTTGGAAAATGAATTCCAAAAGCAATAATAAATTATGTATTATAAAAGATAACATTATTTGAGATATTAAAATTAAAAGTATTAATTTGGTAATAAAAATCTATATATAGTGTAAAACTATAGCTTACTAATGGGACATATATGCATATATATAATAAAGTTTTAAATAGATACTTACTCCCCAAAAATGTAGAGATGGCTAACAGTGACATAAAATGTTCTCTGATTATAAGAAAAGTGAAAATTAAGAGTGTAATATCACCACATAACATCACATAACATTTGTGAGAACATCTTAGTCAAAAGCATCAATAATAACAATGATGAGAAACTTGAATCTAACACTAAGATAAATTTTAAAAAGTTAAGTGCATTTTCTTTTTCTGCTCTTTTACAGCTTTGTACAGGAGATCCCACTGAATGCTATAGAGAAGGCATTATTTCACAGAAGAAATAAATAAATGTAACTGAAAAACAGATTCTAAATATATCAACTTGTCTTTGACTAAAGGGCAAAGGTAACATAATGGAACAAAGATTGTCTTTCTCGATGGCGGCCGCACGGGAGCCTTGTGGACAGCAGGTTTGAGCCGGGCTCGGCGGGAGCGGCAGGGACCTCATGGGAAGGGGGGCTTTGTGGGCCGTCCCCCACGCCCCACCGAGGTCGCCAGCTGCCCCCCACGAGCAGCTCTCCGGCACGGCCACGGCCCCGGAGGCACAAGGACTTAGCACAGAGAACCAGCCGCTTGGAGCAGAAAAGCAAATGGACTATGTGTTAAACAGCACCACCAAGCCTGCCCGGAGGGGAAAGGGTGTTGACCGGCCCGCCCGCTCCTCTCTGGAAAGAAAGATGGCGGCCCCACGGGAGCCTTGTGGAGAGCAGGTTTGAGCCGGGCTCGGCGGGAGCGGCGGGGACCTCATGGGAAGGGGGGCTTTGTGGGCCGTCCCCCACGCCCCACCGAGGTCGCCAGCTGCCCCCCACGAGCAGCTCTCCGGCACGGCCACGGCCCCGGAGGCACAAGGACTTAGCACAGAGAACCAGCCGCTTGGAGCAGAAAAGCAAATGGACTATGTGTTAAACAGCGCCACCAAGTCTGCCCGGAGGGGAAAGGGTGTTGACCGGCCCGCCCGCTCCTCTCTGGAAAGAAAGATGGCGGCCGCACG